TGTGTGTGTGTGTGTGTGTGTTTGTGTATGTGTGTGTGTGCGTGTATGTATGTATGTATATATATTTGTGTGTGTGTGTGTGTGTGTTATCGCTTTCTGTGTTTACCCATCTGTCGCAGTGGGTCATCAAGACTCCGGTGTTGAGTCGTGTAGTCTATCGTGAGGGTTCATATGGACTCTGATGGTGAGTCCTGTGGACTCTGATGAATGCAGGCAATGTTCAGAATGGAATGTTGGTTTGGTGTTTTACACTGCGTTTGGCTCTTTGTATGCATATCATGTTTGAGCATCACAGAACGATGGCGTGTATGTAGCAGTTAGTAGAAAGTAGTATAGATGATCAGCGACTGTATCCAGAGAGGTCTGCTTGGTGTCGGAGTGCTGCGCCATACGGGCGATACTTAAAGACTATTCAAGCCGAAGCTATGAGGATACCGTTCGTGACTTAGTCTATATATATATTTATATATATATGCATATTACGTATACACATATATATGTATTTATATGCACACACACATATATATATATAGATTTTTATATCCATAAACCTCCATGTATATTCATCTTGATGTATTTATGTGTGTGGTATATATACAGTAATAAAATAATATATATATGTATATATATATATAGATTCATACTCCTGTGTATGTATCTATGTTTATGTTCATGTTAATGTTTATCTATCTTTTTATCTATACGTTTAGTTTGTGTGTTTGTCTTCAGTATAAGGTAGCATTTACATCATACTTTGATTTACTTATGTGTCAGATATGTAGTGTAGTATATTCGATTGTTGCTATCCGCCTGCTTACGTGCTATTGTGAACTGTAGTAAGTTATTTATGTGTTTCATTAAACCTCCTTTCAATGCATTATTTTCCAACTCTAGCTGGCTTTGATTGCTTTTCATTTTAGTATCATGGTCTGGTGGGACTCGCTCGACTATCACTTCGTCTAGATACATGCGTTCGTGTATATTCTTCAATGGTACGTGTCGTCTCTTAATGATTAGGAACATAACTGCGCATTTAATCGTCTGCGTGATTCGGGTGACGTACTTACTTACTTGTTACTGTACATCTGAATTTTAAACCATAAAGAGTCAAGATCACCTTTTATGGGCCCGATATAGACGAGGAAACGGTAGAAGCGGATGTGGGCTCAACTGTGTTGGAGGCCGCGCACGATAATGACATTGAGCTTGAGGGTGCTTGTGAGGGGACGATAGCGTGTTCTACATGCCATGTGATAGTACCGAAAGAGACTTTCGACCAGCTACCAGAGATGGAGGAGGAGGAGGAAGATATGCTGGATCTAGCGATAGGACTAGAAGACACGTATGTACTAAATGTTTGTAGGAAAGTCGGTAGTTTTGGAATGATAAGCGATCTTCGATGTATAGACAAGTACCTGAAACAGATGTACTGTGAGGTTTGTGAATGAATGCCTGGAGCGGATATTTTAGCAACATCCCGTTTGTGACTTGCATGATACACGTGTGTGTGTGTGTGTGTCTATTGGTATGCGTGCTTGTCGCTTCGATCGGATGGATCATTTTTGAGAAATAGACATACCCTTTCGGTGCGTATTTATCAATTTTTCGGAAGTTGCACTGTATGAAGAAGATCCAAAAGGTGTGTGAATATGCATTTTCTGCCGAGCATCTGAGGTTTGGTTTTTCTCGCCATATCCCATGTTTTCCTCGATATGGCAACACACACTTTGCTTCGGCTCTGTGTATACTCAAATCAGTAGCTGGAGTCTTTGCCTCGAAACTTGTGGTGTGCTCACTCACTCTCTGGTACTTATCATGTGCAGATCACGGCTAGGCTGCCAAATCGTACTCACAAAAGAATTGGACGGAACTAGGTTTAAGATACCCAGTGAATCGGAAGATCCTCGATACCAAAATTAGTAATCATAGCGACACACCAGAATATGCAATAAACTATTAGCGAACATATTTCGCAACCTCGACTTACCAGTTTCTGCTTGTTTTTCAGATGAGGCAACAATGAGTGTCTGGCGTATCAAACACGTATTGCATATCATCTATCATATAAAAAGCAGCAGCCATCATGTGCACAGAAAAGGTACATGCACACCCGTTGCGCATGTATTGGTGACACCCTAAACCATATGACGCATTCAGTTTTCGCCGCGGTGGTATAAACACAATATTACATTTGGAACATCGGCTTGAACCTCTGGGAGTTATAGTTCCAGACAGTTCGATTCCGTATGCACAAATTCTTGTGTCAATCGTGCTCCAATACGAGATCGTGCGGGTATAGCAAAAAGTTCTTATGCAGTTCTGAGTACACTTATTTGTGCCTCGGCTGCATATTTTATTCGTTTTTTGTATTTGCCCCTTGCAAAAGAATGGGTGGTTTCGACCTTGGGCTTTAGTCGGACGACTAGTTTATACTCGACACCAGGCATATACATCTCTTCAGCGTAAAATATATAAGTGCGATGATGTTAAATGATCACAAGATTGAATGAGTGCCTCCAAGTGTTCGCCCAACTTCATAGATAGCTCCTATCGTAGTCTACGTACAAATCTGTCGGCGACTCTGCTGCGGAGCGAAGCATACACATTTCCTTCCATTATTTTCCAAATCAACATACAATGCTTCCTGCTTACAATTAGTCGATATTGAGTTGGATATAGCAAACCTCCCTTCTAGCATAGTTTGCCACGATACTAAGATATGTCTCTAACTAACAAGATATGTCTCTAACTAACGACGGTTACGCTGTGGGAAGTGCGTGCCTCAGCTTCTTCGATCTTCTTGGTCTTATCGTCGACACCATCGTTATATCCTTGTTCCACTTCGGTCATTAGAGGAGGACCGGGGATGATCAGCGAATTCTCGAGGATACCTCCACCACCCACTCGCAGGCCAAGTTTACTCAACTCCTCTGCGTTAGGTTCAGGCTCGTATTCGGCACGGATGCCAATCGTAAACCGAAGTGCAAGCATGATAAGATATGTCACAAAGAACGACCAGGAACATGACACTAGAATACCAAAGCATTGGTAGCCCAATAAAGTCCAATTGCCGTAGAAAGCTCCATCGGGTATATTAGGGTTTACACCACTAGAAGCAAACAGTCCAGTTGAGAATGTTCCTACCAAACCTCCGAAACCGTGAGAGCAGAACACGTAAAGAGAGTCGTCGATGAAAGATAAATGTGCGTATTTCATCCAAGTCCATAGTACTATGTAGGATAATATGGCACCATAGATTCCCTGTAAAAGTGCATAGGCGGGGATGATGAAGCCAGCATTGGAAGTGATGATCACAAGTCCGCAAACACCGCCATACAAGGCCCCCTCTAGATCAAACTCTTTCTTGAATGTCATATCTAAACAACCCCACGTGAACATTGCCGCTCCTGCACAGATCTGTGTATTGATCAGGGCAAGTCCAGCAATATCGTCAGCAGCCAGTGCAGATCCACCATTGAACCCCATCCACCCAATCCACAGCATCGTCGCACCCAAAAGATTCAAAGACAACTTCACTGGCGCCTCATCGCGATCGGCTTTGTGACGCTTACCAAGAGCCAAGGCACACGCTATGGCACTCATACCTGAGTTAATCTCGACAACGAATCCTCCAGCGAAGTCAATCGCACCGTAGGCATTGTCGCTACCAAATACTTCACCAAGATTTAGCAGAAACCCGCCATTGCCCCATACCCAGTGGGTAATGGGACAGTATACAATCGTCGTCCACGTGAAGATAAAAATGAGAAATGATATGGGTTTCATACGCCCTACGACCGCCCCGGTAATGAGAGCAGAGGTTAGTGCTGCGAAGGACATCTGGAAACCGACGAAAACGAGATCAGACGTGCCAAGATTGACAAGAGCACTATACTCGAAGTTACCCCAAAATCGTCCGTCGCCTCCGAATGCAAAACTGAAGCCGATAAGGACCCATTGTATTGATATTAGACCTAAAACGAGACACGTTTTAGTAAGCGTGTCGATTATATGCTTTTCACGACATAGCGACCCGTAGAAGAACGCCAATCCGAAGGTCATCATAAACACAAGCGCTGTGGAGACAAGCACCCAAGCTATATCTCCCGAGTCCCATCCTGCCGCGAACACTGGCTCGATATTTGCTGATGTCTGTTGTACCATATTCTAAATTTGGAGCTGCCGATAACGACGATGTGTTTTCAAACTATGAAGTTGTACAATTGAAATCGTGTCGATATGCATTTCAATATTTATCCATAGCCTCCAATTCCAATTGCTATGATTTATGTAGCCTATTAACCTGAATGCTGAATAACCTGATATGAAATGCATCAGATTTTATTTTTACTTCTTCTACTCAAAATGTTTTTTCTGTTTTTTGGTAATAATTAGAAATACAATACCATTTTGACATTTTGTTGCTTCTTTTCCTTTTATAAAGAGTATCAGAGTATCACATATAATAATAAAACATGCGTGTATTTATATTATACGTATTGTCGAGTGGTTATGAGTGGTACATAGGGGGTTTTTTTGTTGTTTTTTGTTGTTTGTTACTCTTTTTTTGAATAAAAATAATATTTTAAAAAATGCCTTTTTTTTACTATGTGTTGTTCAATTTTTAGGAGGCCATTCTAAAAGCGTTTTAATTTGTTCTTCAAAAATAAAAGTTCCAAAGAGCAAAATTGGGGAGGCTGACAGCCTGACACTCACAATATGAGGAATTCCGAATTCGGAGGTGCAGAACTTCTCTTGGCTCTTGTTTTAGTATTTTAGTACATATTTGTTTTTTATTTATTTATTTATTTGTTTTTTAACACCCCATCCATGTACTAAGGGGACAAAATAGGGCCAAAAATAAAGAAGCGTTCCTGATTTACTAAATCTGGACTTCAATTTATTCTTATTATTTTTTGGCATATTTCAAGATTAAGTATTTCGTAAATGATCTGTGAAGGAGCCAAGGTCGTAGTACAAGTAGAACTCCTTCCATGCTTAGGAGCCTAACACTACATCGGAAACCTCCAAAACGCGATTATTGGGTCTAAATATGCATAATTAGTAAAGTTTCAAAGTTGTCACGTACAATTATTGTCAAAACCATATCGTATATGCATTCTTATAACCGTAATGCAAGCTACAGCTTCTAAAATCGAGAAAAGTGTGTTTACGTTATTTGATGTGCCATGCCATCGATTGCACGATGAATCTCATTTCCTGAACTTTTTGCCAAAATTCACTACTTATTCACCTACAAACGATTACAATACCATTAATATGGTTTAATTATGCTTATATTGATATAACGAAGGTCTGAAAATTATATTGAAGACATAATTGAATATGCACACCAAATGGATGTCATTGATGGACACGCATGCACGTAAATGGTGATTTTGAGCAAGCATAATAAGCCTTCTATACCACAAAGATGATTTCTAAACTAATATTACTTGTACTTATTACATATTAGAACCCTTAGAAGGTTCAAACTGCTAATACTCGACCTGGAAATCCAAGATTTGACATGGTCGAAAAGTGCACAATCCTGTTCATAAATCGATACATAACTGTATGAACCAGTAGAGCTATCAACTTGGCTCCTTCGCAAAATACTTTTGAAATGTTTTTAGAAAAAGTCTAGAAAGTAAAATTGGGATTATATCCAAAATCAGATATAGTAAATTAGGTTTGGTTCTTTAAAATCGAGTCTCCTTAGTCTATTGATGGGGTGTCAATAAACAAATCAATTTCCGAATTGAATGAATACATTTTAAAAAAATAGGTGCCGGCGGTTCATATGTGCTACTTTGTTTTTTAGGCATTTATTTCGGGCCCAAAATTGAAAATACAAGGTTGGGGGTGGGGAGAGATTGAAGAACAACAAATATCAATATCGCAAGGCCCTCTGGATTTGGGTCTCTGCTAAATTTACGATTTCGTCTTCGGAAAGAACCTGATTTCTACTCGCGACCCTGATCCAGATTCCAGAGGGCCTTGAAAAAATATCGCCGGGCCGCCGGCATTGAAGTTTTGAACCCTCTCTAGTTTTGCCTGTCCTTGTGATATTTACATTCACAAACCCCAATTGCAGTTTGTCGTATTGATTGAAAAAATATATATTGTTTGATATTTACAAAGTCCATGTAGTAGGCCGTGTTATAGAACAGGTCTAAAGCACGAGTTTTTTTCAAATCGTTTACGACATCAGATATTTGCGATATAAATATTGGTATTTATTTTAAAGCAATTGTTCAATGTGTATTATAAAATATTGTGTCAAAATGTGCCTATATGTGTACAAAATTTAAAAGTCCGTGACGCCAAAAAAACCCCCCAGAGGTGGGCCCCAGGAGGGGTGGGGGGGTGGGGTGCGAGTCAGGGGGGGGGGGGGCACATCCGAACCGCCTTATTGAAATTTGAAACTGAATAGTGAAAACAGCTGTAACTTGTGAGCTTGTCTCCTGTGACAGTGAGCTGTAGCCTGTATGTAGCTCCTATATTTCAAAAAGACAAAAAAAAAAGCACAGCCTCCTAAATTGAACAAAAAAAAAAGTGATGAATATTTTATATTGGCGGTTTTTGGTGATTTCATTCCCACACAAATCCCCTGTTCGGGCCTGGCCGCCTGCCGCCTCTCTCTCTAGTCCAGCGAGAGAGAGGCCCTGGGCTGGAGAGTTGACTCAGGGCTGGGGCCTGGGGCCAGCGAGAGAGTAGGACTCCAGAGAAGTGAGTCTCAGTCAGCCTGAGTGTCAGGTCCAGAGTCCATCAGAGTCTTCGACCCGTTTTTATTTATGTAGTTTTAAACCAAACATAAACGTGAGATCGTGACTCCTAAATACTTGTGTGTGAGACTGTGAGCTCTCCAATGCTTTTGAGGGATTGACTCGTTGAAGAATCGCCTTGTCAAGTTGACATGTGTCCCATTTCAATTTCACGCATTTTTCAAGCCCGTCAAGGACATTTGCTTTTTTTAATTGACAGGTTACAGACTCACAGAGTCACAGGCTCACACTCCCGACAAGTGACACTCTGTGACAGACGCACAGCAGTGAGGCGTGAGCCAGCATTCAGTACACATTACTATTTTATTTTAAAACAATTAGTTGTCATATTTTATTTTAAAACAATTAGTTGTCATAATTGAAGTTGACATTTGTCACTAGACAGCTGAGACTGATAAAGACTTACAGTATGTAATTTTTAAGTTTTTTTTAATTTGTACTCCATAAACTATATGACCACAGGACTCCACTGATCAGTGAATACTCTGCAGTGCCACAGACCAAATCACATGTATTTGTTGTGTATTTTTATTTATTTATTACAAAACGTGTATGACGAGTGTCGAGTGATGACAGACGAGTGACGACCGCACCGCGTCAGTTATCTCGCATGTGTGACTGTGACACTGTGTTGACACTTGACAAACTTGAGACATTGTGCTTGACTGTTGCCCCTCTTTCTCAGTCTCAGAGACAACTCTCAAGTCTCATCAGGTTCTCTTCTCTCGCGTACTCTCTTTTTTTTTATAAAAGAGATAAAATTGTGGTCTGTCTGCTGTGAACTTGTGTCGTGTATCTACATATAGACTACATGTGACCACTGACCAGTTGAAGTGGAGGCTGCGCAGGAGTATGAGCCTGTAACCACTGTGGGTCTGTGGCACTGACCAAGCTGACCACCCATCCATCAGATGCTCTCTTTTTCATTTAGACCAGTCAGATCACTGGAAGCATTCCAACCCCTGTTATTCCGAATATTTTAAAAACAAAAGTTTAGATCTATATATCAAGACCTGATTGGTCTATAGTGGAAAACGTGATTTCAATTTCAGTAGACCTGGTCTTGTAGATACATCCACAATTCCACATTGTATTTGTGACTCCATAGTCCATAGTCCATAGTCCATACAATAACGCACACAGCCGCCCCTCATCGCTCAGCAGACTCCGCTGTGTTGGGAGGTGCTACAGTGGAAGGGGGGGGAGGGTGAGGTAGAGGTGTCGATTAATCATACATGTTTCACTGCTGCTGTACTGTGTACAGTACTTTACTGCTCTCGAGAGAGAGAGAGATTTCACTGCTGCTGTACTGTGTACAGTACTGTACTACGAGAGAGAGAGAGAGATTTCACTGCTGCTGTACTGTGTACAGTACTGTACTACTCGAGAGAGAGATTAGGTTGTACCGCCGTAGAGTGAAGGCTGTTCAGCCTGTACCCCTGTGGCCTGGGGGGCCTAGGCCTAGTAGGCCCTGGGGCTGGGGACCTAGAGCGCCCTGGGCCCTAATTCAGTAATTATCTGGTCTCTATCGGTCTATGTACCCTCTCGCCAGTCTCCACTCTGTCTAATCACTAATGGAGCAACGTTGCGACCGGGGCTGTGAGCCTGTGACTCGGGAGTTGGGGCCTACCTCAAGAAAACTGAAGGTTCACGGGGGGGTCTCTTCAAAAGTTATCCACTTTTACCCCTCCCCCCCGCTTCTCTCTCTCTCTCTCTCCCCTCTCTCTCTCTCTCTACTCTCT